TCTCTGGTGGATCCTCTTACCCCTGCACCTCTGGCCTGCCCAGCTCTTGTGTGCATAAATAAATAAATATAAATAAATATTTTTTAATAAAAAGCAACAACATCTAGTTACTAGCTTACTAGGAAGCTAGTCAGTCAACACACACCAAGCAGGGACTGTTCCAGCGTGGGGGGCTCCGTGCCGGCTGGCACTGCCATTAGCTGCTAGCTGCCCCTAGAGCAGTTGGGGTCTCTTACAGATCTTTCTTCCCCGACTCAGGGATGCCCCATCACCTGGAACAGAGGACCCGGGGTGCTGCCCTTCTGGATGGGCTGGCGTGGCGACCTCTCTACGCTGAGGCACCCAGTCTCCCTTGCTGGTCCTCCATGGCTGCTCCACTCACCCCAGTGTCCTAGACAGAACAACCCAGACTCCTGAATGTGACATGCAGGCCTTTCATCACTTGGATGGCACCCTCCCCCCAGACCCCCCCCACAGCTCTCAGATCCCCAGGGTTCTCACACCCAAGGCCTCTGCAAGTGCTGCTTCGGCCATCTGCGCCTCCCCCGCCCCGCCTCGGCTAGGACAGCCTCCTGCCGGCAGCCTCTCCAGATGGCCCCGCAGACATTCCCGTCCCCCTTTCGCTCCTCCACTACGCACCTCCTTCTGTAACAAAAACCCATCTGTGGTGTCTGTCCCCGAGGACCCCTTACTTGCTCCTGGGGGACACTTCCGTGTGCAAGGTGGGTGCCTTGCCTCGGATACGTCCACTCAAGGGACAGGAAGGAAGTGACTCGTTTCACCCGCACAGGAAGGTCAAGTGCCAGTTCTAGGACCAAGACCCTGGACCCAGGGGGCCTGCACTCCCGAGCACTGACGGAGGCCGTTCCCCATCACTCAGTGCTCCAGGCTGCTGCTACCCTGTCCCGGGACCTCCTGCAGGCAGGGGCTTTTCACCCCGTCAAAGCTCTGGAAACACACATAGACGGAAGGAGCATCTTTGCAGGAAGGACACCAGGGCCCAGGAGCAGGCCTTCTTCTTGGGTGGGGGGCGGGGTACAGCGGGAAATGCTGGGACAAAGGCACCGAGCGCCTCTTCCCTATGGTCTGCTTTGCTCCTACATCCAGCAGACTTCCCAGGGCTGGAGGTCGTTAGCCCCTGAATCCAGGCTTTCTGAGTGCTCTCCACCGAAGGGGCAAGGGTACATGATAGGGGCCCACCCGCCCAGGGGCCCGGGTGGGCAGACCAGGCCAATCAAGGCAGATCTTAAAGATGCGCCTGAGCTTTGCTGGGAGGACCCAGGGCAAGGTGAAGGGTGTTCCTGGCAAAGGTGTGACCAGCGGCTGGGCTGGGGCCTATGGAGGGCAGACAGATTCTTGGCCTGGAGCCAGAGGATGCTTGCTTTGGAGAGATGACCGTTCAGTACAATTTGTTATCGCTCCTTCAGGCCGGAAGCCTAAGTACGTCTTTGCATTACATCTCTGGTGGCTGCCTTTTGCCTTCTCCACACCTCCTCCGGTGAAAAGCAGGACGCACCGGAGCAGCCTCCTTGGAGCACAAGCAGTCTCACACCAGCCGCCAAACAGCTACCACCAGGTCCCTGGCCAAACAGGCCAGACTGTCTGCAGAGAATAAAATCTCTCTGGGGAGAAGGGCTGGGGGTGGCCCCTGCCTGGGCCACCGGAGCTTCTTGATTTGGCAGGGCGCTGCCAGCAGGTGGCGCCCGGCGCTGGAGCCACAGCGCCCAGGCAGGGGTGCCTGGGTCCCTGGTAACTGTGACCTGGGGACTCAACCTTGCCAGATTCCCTTCCCTCACCCACGAGCGGCCCATGGCCTAAGTTCATGGGTGCAAAGGCCCCGACACAGTGGCTCACACCTAGTTGACTCCGTCAGCTGTTATTTTTATCACTTATCCAGATAGGTCCATGTAGCTCTGAATTTAGTAACAACTGAAGTTCCCCTTCTCTGCTCATTTGCGGAAGGCTCCGTTGAAAATGCTGGGTATGGGCCCCCTGGAGGCGCAGTGGTTAACGTACAGCATTTTGAAGCTGTCAGCAGCCACTGAAACATGAGTTCGATCCTTGGCTAGGGAGATGACCCTGTGGCATGGCGGACCTCTCCTGACCTACCCACTGCTCCCCTCAGCTGAGTGTTTCAGTCAGTCTGCCTATTCTGCTCCCCACTCTGTTTCTAGTGCATCCTCTCACCCCTGCACCTCTGGCCTGTACCCAGGTTCTTTTGTGAATAATCTTTTTTTAAAAAAAAAAAAAAAGAAAGAAAGAAAATACTGGGTGTTTTTACGGTGTGGCAGGATGCTGGGGCAGGGAATGGTCCTCCAGATGCTGTTTTCTTGTGAGGGAGACCGCAGTAGGAGTCAGTGACACAGAGGAGGGAAAATTCTGAGTCAAGCCCCCTGCGCCCATCAGTCTTCTTGCACCCTCTCCGTGCAACGTGGAAGGTCCTGTCTGCCATGCTCACCTGTGTCCCCGGTTAGACATGATATGCTCAAAAAAATGTTGCTGAATTCCATGAGAATGACTAGGTTCTTGCTAAAGAAAAAGAGGGGCTGAGGTGGATCTGTGCTGGGGGCCCCCTCAATCAAGGAGTCATGAGAGTTGGAAGCCTCTGGGAAGGCCAGTGGAGGAGCTTGGCTGAACCTGGGCCCCAGTCCCATGGTGACCCCCCCCACAGTGGATCCCCAGAGTTGGGGAACCTGACTTTCAAAGACAAAGCACCTGCACATTTAACATATTTTATTAAAAAAGGAAAAACCAAACGAAAAGCCCAACTCAAGAACTCTCAGTTCTGGGAGTGTGGGAGCAGCTTAGGTCTGTGGGAGGGGGGTGGTGGTGGAACGTGGAAGACGGACAGTGTGGGGGGCACGTGACCCCGGAAGAGCAAGGGCTGGTGAGCCCCATGGCCGGCCTTCCCTCAGGGCCCGGCCCCCCTCTGCGGCTCAGGCTCACCCACTTGGAAGCCAGGTGGGGGCTCAAGCCCAGGAAAGGGCAGGGTGGGCAGTTCTGGGCGGGCTCGGGTGGACGCCTCCCAGCGGTCAGGTAGGAGAGGGTAACCCGGGGCTCGATAGGGCATATCAGCACCCTTCCCGAGGGTGGGGTTCAGCCCTCCACCCCGGAAGTCGGGCTCAGACAGGGAGAGGTGCGGTGTCGCCCCGCCAGCCTGTGCGCGGGGCTCCCCTTCGGGGAGGAGTGGCCACCTCTAGGTCTGAGTGGGGGGGTGCCCAGGCCTTCGGGGCTCAGGGACCCTGGGGGCCTCGAGGCAGCGCCCGGATGGGACGCGGCGGGGGGTGGTCCAGGACGGGCTCAGGCCGGGCACGAGCGCCGCCGCGGCGCTTCTGCTTTCGCAGCAGGTAGCTCGAGTACTGCACCTCGGGCATGGCCAGCTTGAGGCAGGCCTCGGTGGCCGGGCCAGCGCCGCCGCTGGGCAGGTCGTAGCCCATGATGTCCACCTTGCGGCTGGGCTGCCAGGGCTGCAGCTGCTTGGTGCGGATCTGCGCGGCGGGCCGCAGGGCGGGCTCATCGCCGAAGCAGCGGCGCAGCAGGCGCTCCCGGG